GATTGATTGATAGATAAATAGAGGGTAGATGGGTAGATATAGATAGGAAGGAATGTTTGACTTCACTTTACAGTGTAATGTTACCAGATTTAACCAAAATGTTAGACATTCACAGATCTTCAATGTCTTAAGAAAGAAGTAAGACATCACCTAATGTAACATGACTTCATTTGACAAGCAAGAAATAATACAGCCTTGATTAATCTTGCGTTAACATAAACCTTTTTAACTTGTTTATTATTATACCAAGTTGAATAATCCGTTAATCTTTTTTTTTTTGCTTTTTCCATTGTTGAGATGTTGTAAAAATAATCATATAAACTCAGTTCCAGAGCCACTTTATCTTGAAATGTTCACTAAGGAACTATGGATTATATTTATCAAAAGAAACTAATTAATAATGCTGAAAAGGGTGGGTGACTCTAGAATAAGGATTTTTTTTTTATAGCAACTGCAGTCATTTCTTTAAACCATTACAATTAATTATGTGATAGAAATAGCACGTTATAAGGCAATTGTTTCTAATTGAAACGATAAACATTATCCAAAGAGTAGTTCTGACTATTCCTGAACACTTGGCTCAGTGTTTGCTGGCTATTTTACAGATTGCCATGCCAAACTGTAAGTTCGGTTGGAACCTATCATTTTCCAAATGGTTTTCCATTTCACTGGGAAATCTGTTTTCAAATAAACAGAAGGTCAAAGGATCTCTGAGCATTTGCATCAAGCTGGAGAAGTTGTGAGATCTACAGGTTGCAGAATGTGATATTGCAAATAGGAATATCAATATCCATTTTCCTAACTTGTTTGAACTTCCTTTGACTCTAAAAGTAATCCTGCAACTACTTTTGAGAATAAGATTCACTGAATTCAGTTGGAGCTATTTACAAGATCTATCTAGAATGCAATTAACATTTCCAACTCTTCCTTTCCCACTACATCTTTTTAATCCTAACACTCTGATTCCTTTGTCATCTCAACTGCAAGCTTTGCTCATTCAATAGGAACACTGTTGAAGTGAAACATCCCTTCCTGTTTATAACATTTTTCATAAAGTCAATCTTGCCCGAATGTGGTAGTTTCATTGTATTTATGTTTGTAGTCCACAATACATTTCAGCTGAAAAACTCTAGTTTCTTCAGGGGTAGCCATGTTTGTTGCATTAAAAACCATTATTTTGCATTATCCTAAACCAAATGTATTTCTGTAAGTTATGGAACTCTGCACTCCACCAGACAGAGTTCACTGCTTCAGGTTATTCCATTGCGGGGAAGCAGTTACAGCCTTCCAGCTTTTCCTTCTGAACTTCCCAAACCTTTCAATCCATAGGCCACACAGCATACTTTTAACTCCCTAAACCAGTCTACAGGCTTAGGTTGATGGAGCACACTACCTCATTGTGAGTTTGTACCAATTTTGGCCAGCTTCAATTACTTGGAAAAATAGTGCCATCTAATCCTTCACAGGCAGCAAAATGTCTTAGGCTGGCCGTGTTCCCCTTATGCATGGAATATTCTATTAAAAGGGCATATCTAATGTGCATAATTTTCATTTTAACACAATGTAAGGTTGCATCATTACTATTAGACCATGTTGTTTGCTTGGTCTGCTTAGTAAGTTGACGGTTGGGAACAATTCATGTGCCTTATGAAAGCTAGGAATGTTTATTCCATTACTGATCCTTTTACAATGTCAGAAAATCATTGTTGTTCACCAAAAAATTCTTCCTCTATTGCAATAAAAATGAAATCCCAAATTGGCATATCTGGCCTTTTCACGAATTTTAAGTAGGCCTTGACTAGCGTAAAGCAAGAGTTTTTGCAGTTAAGAGCTTACATCATACGACAATATATCACACTTAGCTATAAAATCAATCAGATCGTTCCTCCCATCCAGGATATCTCCCAGGGATAGGGGTGCAAGTTATTGTTCCTGAAAGGATATTACAGATTCACTTAAAATCTGACAGATATCATTGGGAATCCTCCATACAGCAGGCTAGCCTGAATGTTATAATGGAAGAACATGGGAGATACAGGAAATCAATTAAGCAGAGGAAGACTAATGATCAGACAGTAAAAAAACTTTGAAAGGCTAACACATGTATTCATGGTGTGCAGGACTTACTTTGCAAGTGTTATTCAAAATATTACTGGTATACTTAATTCTCCAGGCAAATACAAGCATAACTTTGCTTTGACTGAAATGTGAGTGCCATCTGGTGGTGCGTGTGCTTTTTATTCAACATAAAATAGCATATAAAACAAAGATGGGATTTCAAATTAAATCATGAATTTATTTGGCCAACTACACTATTTAGCTTGACTTTCATAAATATATTTATGACTTTCATAAATGCAACATATTTTTCAAATTGGTAAATTCAAATTAGTAAAGAGCATCTCTTACAGCATGGTTTTCAAGCACACAAAGTAACTAAGACATTTCCCTATACCCTATACGGCTTCTACAACTCTGTGAGTTGGCAGCTAAAAGAATCTTAGTATTTCCAAAAAGAATAGTTTAGGATCACAATCACATCAATCACAATCACTTTATATACAAAGTTGTGACAAAACTGAAATTGAAGTCTTGTTGCCTAGAGAAAACATTGATTTGATTTATGCAATCTTTCCTGTTCTTGAAGTGCAGATATTGTTTCGGGATGGAACTTTTTATGTATTTTAACAATGTAGATGGCCTCTCATCACATTCTCACAACCCTGGGCAACTAACAGGACAAAAAAGCAACAGTACAGAAATCCAAAACAAACTTTTTTTAAAAAAAATCTTGTAACAAAGCCATCAAAATATAGTCTTATGATTTGCTCAGGTCCACATAAAAACACTGTTTCAATTATTGACACAGACATCATTTTCTATTTTGAAAATCCCTAACTAGCCTTTTTCATTGCTTTTCTTAAAAAAAAAAAAGGTGTCATGCCTTTTAAGTTGACGTCCTGTAAACCTTCTATCCAACAGCTCCTATACATCTATTCATTAAGGGTCTCAAAGTGAAAGTGCACAGCACCTGAGGATCTTTAATAATGCAGAACAGGAGGTAGGTGTTCCCTCCCCCAAGTACAACCACCATTCTTCAGATGGGGGCTCAAGTGATAATGATCTTAAATAGTCTTGGAGTCCGACTGGACAATCACTTAAACATGAGCCAGCAGTGTGATGAAGCAGCCCAAAAAGGCGAACAGAGTTCTAGGCTGCATTAACAGAGGGAAAGAATCAAGATCACATGAAGAGTTAATACCACTTTATAATGCCTTGGTAAGACCACACTTGGAATATTGCATTCAGTTTTGATCACCATGATGTAAAAAAGATGTTGAAGCTCTAGAAAGAGTATAGAGAAGATCAACAAAGATGATTAGGGGCAGGGGTGGGATCCGACCAGTGTAACAACTGGTTTGGTGATTTTACGTTTTGCACGCATATGTGTATATCAGCTAGCTGTCTGGACAGCTGAGCAGCACTGTGGGGGTGGGGTGCACAGCAGTTAAAAAAAAAAACACCCTTTTTCCTGTTTTTTCAACCACAGCTGTCACGCAAAGCAGCTGCAGTTGAAAAAGCAGGAAATAAAGGTCAGGTAAGAGCCCGGGTGGGCAGGTGGGCCAAAACAGCAGCAGACATAGAACCAGTTTTATGTATGTTCTCTGTCTGCTGCTCTTCAGAGCTACCGGTGGACAGAACTGGTAGAATCCCACCCGATTAGGGGGACTGGAGGCTAAAACATAAAGAACGGTTGCTGGAATTGGGTATGTCTAGTTCACGGGTGTCAAATTTGTGGCATCACATTGCCGTCCCATGATGTTTTGCAGTGTTTCTCCCCTTCATGGAGCTGGGTTGGATGCGACCTGTGTGATGCATCTGGCCTACGGGGCCACCAGTTTGTCACCCCTGTAGTTTAATGAAAAGAAGGACTTGTGGTGATATGATAGCAGTGTTCCAATATCTGAGGGGCTGCCACAAAGAAGAGGGAGTTAAGCTATTCTCCAAAGTACCCAAAGGCAGGACAAGAAGCAACCGATGGAAACTGATCAAGGAGAGAAACAACCTAGAAATAAAGTTTCCTGACAGTTGAAACAATCAGTGAAACGACTTCTCTCCAACACTTGTGGGTGCTCCAACACTGGAAGTTTTTAAAAAGAGATTGGACAACTAATTTATGTTATTAATAATGCTGCTAAATGCAGGGACCTATTTTCTCCCTTTATGAGCTCCATCTACTCATTGGGTTGGTGGTATGGGAAGGGGAGGAGGCAGCGCTCTGTACCCTCAAACTCCTAAAAGGAAAGATGGGGTATTAAATAGACACAGACACACAGAGATCCGACTTCCATGGCAGAGTTCCTGTCATCCAGTCTTTCCCAACTCTCCGCAGGAGTCGGACTTCAAGATTTTGCTCTCCAGACTAGACGCAGGGGTTTCCAACCTTGGCAATTTTAAGACTTGTGGACTTCAACTCCCAGAATTCCTCAGCCAGCTTTGCTTGTGGACTTCAACTCCCAGAATTCTGGGAGTTGAAGTCCAAAAGTCTTAAAGTTGCCAAACTTGGAGACCTCTGCGTCGAGAGGATTACGGAAACTGCACAACTTCTTCAGGAGAAGCACGAGGTTGAAGAACGGATCAACGTGCGACGGCTGCTTTGACCTCAGTGAAACCAAACCAACATAGCATCTCGGTCGTTGCTTTCGGTTTCCACTGGAACCCTGCAACGGGGAAAGCACAAGGCCGGACTGTGACTCGGTAGAACCACTCTGCCACTCAATATCCATGGTGTTCTGTCAGCCGGCATGGTTCAATTGGGAACCGGAAGAGCCGCTTTAAGCGTCTTGAGTTCCCTCTAGTCTACTCTAGGAGTTATAACCCCGCCGCTCGGGATTTCTCCGCCCTTTGCTTTGCGGCCGCGCTTTTGTGACACTGTCGTGAATCGCAGTCGCCGTCAAGCAAGATCAACGGGGAACGTAGCCTGGACCGGAAGTAGGGGAGGAAAAAGAGAGGAAGCCTGGGAAAAAGCGGCACACGTGCGGCCGGTAGCAGGTGAGTCTTCCTGCGGGAGGCAGACGGCGATGGCTGAGTTGTTATAGGGAGGTCGAGCGAAGGTCTTCGAGTAGTCTCTTCACTTCTGGTGGGCTCTTTTCTCGGCTTGAAAGGGGTTTTTGCACTCATCTTAACCAGTCGTTTCCGGCTTATGAGTGTTGTAGTCCATCTGCTGCTACCCCCCCCCCCCCCCGCCTCCTTAGGTGGAAATTAATGGGAAGGCATTTTGTAAGGTCGTTGTTTCCCTTCTTGTAGGTATCCCGCGAGCAGGAATGACTTGAGTACTGCCCTGGTACGTTTAGACCAGGGCTTTCCAACCTTGGCAACTTTTAAGACTTGTGGACTTTAATTCCCAGAATTCCTCAGCCAGCTGGCTGAGGAATTCTGGGAGTTGAAGTCCACAAGTCTTAAAAGTTGCCAAGGTTGGAGAGCCCTGGTTTAAACTACAATTCCCAAAATCTCCCAGTAGCGGGGTCAGTGGAGGTTGCCTGGCTAGGCTTTCAGCTCTTGTTCATCCTTCTAATACTGTGATCCAATGACCTTAATAAACAGTTTCTCATACACCTAAGCAATAGAAGGGGAACTTAATGATCGCATATAAAAAAAGACTAGAATCTCATTTTGGATTGACGGAAACCAAAGCTTTTATGACATAAAGAATAGTGGATCCAAACCTAACCCAACCCACCCTGAAACGCTATTATCTTCGGCAACTTATCTTACTTAGTCTGTAAGTTATCTTAAGAGAGCCAATTTGTTGTAATGGTTAAGGCATCAGGCTGAAAACTAGGAGATGGCGAGTTCTAGTCCTGCCTCAGGAATAAAAGCCAAGTGGGTGTCTCTCTCAGCCCAAGCCACACCTCACACAGTTGTTGCTTTGGGAGAAAAAAAGGAGTGGGAAGGAATATTATGAACGTTTTCCGCCTTGAGTTTCTTATGAAGTAACTAGCAGGGTATCCGTGCTTCGCTATGAAACTATGTGATTGGGCTTAGTTTTGGGGGAGGAAAATAAAGGGAAAAAATTGTGCCTCTGCTTACCAGCATCCATTGGTATTCAACTGGCTAGCATTCTGTCAGTGTGTGAGAGAGTTGAGGGCTGTTTAGAAACTGAAACAGTATATGCTGAGTGAGCAAGAAGGAGACAGCAAGGAGCCTGGACGTGGCTCAGCTCAACTGCAGTTGGAACATCTTTCTTTTCAGGTGCAAGTAAGAGTTGAGAACTGTTTCAAAACTGAAACAGTATTTTCTGTGTGAGTAAGAAGGAGACAGCAAGGAGCCTGGATGTGGCTTAGCTGAACTGCAGTTGGAAGATATTTCTTTTCAGGTGGGGAGGGGGAGTAGAACTCCTTATCATCAGAGCGTGTTAATAATAATATAGAAAATACTAATGTTCTGATGGTCATTTCGAAAAATCTTTTCTTAGTGAACACCTAGAAGCCAAGAGGAACATACGTGCCAAATTTCAAGTTTGTAGGCTTCACAATTCTGGAGATTTTGTGATGATGCATGAATGGTATTTAGCTTTTATATATAGATAGATAGAAGATAGATAAAGGTAGGATTAAAATCTAATAAGATAAATAAACCTCCATCGGAGGCGAACACCATGAAAGTACCCACAGTAACAATATAATAATCTTTTGGGAGGCTTGCAGAAGGTGAACTGAAAAAAGTAATAATTCTTGGGAATTCCTATCAAACAGCCTTAGGGCTTATTTGCAATTTTAAGGGTCCTTTCCAAAGTTGTTTTCTCTTACTGGCTAAAATCAAAGACAACTTTAGATATTTGTTCCTGTGCATCTGTAGGTTATTTACTACGTAGACAATAAAAATATTAAAAAGAAATAGGTATATTTCTGTCATTATATAAAAATACCAGTCAAAATGCCAAATGATGATTTGAAAATATATTCCCAACCATGGTAATGGTCCTGAATTTTTGATGGATTCTAATAGAGCAGTTTGTGTGCAGCTGTGGTGCTATTTTTTCCTAGATTACTTTTTTATATTTTTCATACCAAGATTTTTAGATCCCCAGCCACACTGATGTGATGTGACTAGTGTTTATATTGTTTTCTTAAAATATTATGCTAATCCACGATTATTTTATCTTTAATAAACTGACAGCTACTTGCAGCCTCACAAAAAGTAGTGAAAAAAATCAAAGATGAAATGTCAAATTTATTATCGCCTTTTTTGTCTGTTGCTGCCTTTATTCTTGATATTTTTAAATGTCTTAAAATTCAAAGATATTTAAATAACTCTGCAACATAGCATGGGCTGACTGAGAGTTATGGGCTTGTAACAATATATCTGTCACATTTCAGAATGGAAAAAGTTGATTTCTAGAGCTTCTGCAGTCTTGAATTGCATGTGTATGAGGATTGGGATACTGGAAGCAGTGATTGTAATTTTCTCTGTTTTTCAGCATTAAATTAATGGACACCAAGAGGAAATTTATTGGTAAAGGTGGAAAAACTGGGCGTGGTAAAAAGAAGTTTACAAAGAATAATGGTGAGATAAATTTATTACAAGATACACATTTTCTAAATCTGACATAGGTGGTAGATTGTGTCTAATAAGTAATTGGTTTAATAGATACTTGTAGGTTAAGTCATGATAAAATATAGGAAATGGATTTTAGCTGGTATATTTAAAGAGATACTTCAATTAGGCTTTTAAAAATAGGAATACATGCATGCATAAATGAACAAAATACAGTATATATTTTTTAATAATTTAGTAAAATTTACAATTATAGCAGTAAAAATGAATACAAACTGAAAAAAGATTGAATAAAAAGAAAGTAGAAGGTAACAGAAATACGAAGAAGTGACTTCCCAACTTCATCACAAATATAAAGAATTGTAGTAACTTATGACCTCTTAAAATGCAACAAATGATCTCGCTTTCTCATATACCATCTTTTATCTATAAATAAATCCTTATAGCATTGTAATTTCAGTTCTGGTGTCAGCAAAAGTCCATTAAGAGTTACCAAAAATATTTATTTTAATCTTGATCAAATAAATCAATTTTACATTCTTTCCTATTACTTCTAACAATTTTAATTTTTAGTCCATTCAAATAAAGTCATAGAAGTTGAATTATTTTCAATTTTTTTCTTCCTTCTCATGAGATTCCTTAAAACTATAACAGGCCTCTTTTGTAAATCCAATATTGGGAACTTTTTTCCAGGTCACCTTTGCAGTTTATTGTTTGTATATCCTTTCTAATTATTAAGACACCAACCAGTCTTATTTGTATGTCTGGTATAATGTCTTTTTCCATATAATTCTTGTAGCATGTCATTTGTAAATCCGCTTTCATCTCAGTCTCGATCTTCTTGGATAAAACTTGATCCTCTTGTAGACATACTCTCCACAAATACTGACATCGTTGTTGACACTATTAAAATTAAATTGAGTTAAAAATATTGTTAAAAAATGTTCTTTGATATGTCAAAAGTTAGAATATTTTGCTTCATTCTATAATTATAAACTGAGTTTGTGCTATCTTCAGTTATAAATTCAATTGCAATCTTATTTTGCAATCTTTTTTTAAAGTCCAAAGCAAAAGCATTTTCCCATGGGAAGGATTCTTAACGATCCAAAATTTTATTTTAAATTTATCTGAACTTTCTAAAATCAAAATTTTAATCACCCCTTTGCTGTATATATATTTTTTTAAAGTTAAACTTCTAGTTAAAATCTTGTTTTTAGTAAGGATTGAAGGAAACTCACTGCTCTCAAAGTTGCCAGTCCAAAAATTTCTAATAGCTGAAAAGCAATTAACAAGACATTTCTTCAAGTGATTAAAAATGAAATATGCAAACTTAACATCCTTTCAAATGTGCCAATCATGGTTTAGAAGATGGTTATTCCCTTGTCTCCCAGAGTTCTAAACCCACTGAAGACCATTATCTTGTGGCCTCCTCACAAGGAACAACTGTGTAGAGTTCTTGTGAGTGACTTCAAGCTCTCTCCTTGTCCAGAGAGGCATTACTGAAAAGCTAGTCTACTTTCTGACTCTGTTTTGCCACAGCTGTTGGCTCCACTTTTTGTGATGCAGTCTTCAGCTCACCATTTCTTCCTTCACAAGTCATCACAATATATACAGTTTGATGAAAAAAGTTAAGATAAGGATTGCATTTTTAAACTTGGCTAAAATATGTGAATAAAAAAACAAAAAACTCTGCACTTTTTCATTCCTGTATACCCGTAGCCTAAGCCTTACCCATCAACATAGGAGAGGGAAATCTCTAGCCCTCCAAATCTTGCTGGACTAGAACTCTCAGCCCCATTTGCCATTAGGAATAATTGTTTTGGGCTTCTAGGTGTGTGATTTACCTTTACTATTGATAGGAGGTTTAATAGTTGTCCATTTGCACAGTAATTATTCCATATATACTGGCAGAGGTTGGCATTTGTAATATCTAAATGTGGTAAACCTTTCTAGAGTTCTCACATTATTATTTAAAAATTAATTTAAATGCTTGTGTACACTGGTTTTTCTGATGTTTATTTTTCAATCTTGTGATCATTCTGTTTGAAAACAAAGAGGTTGGTTTTTCATGATCTAAGTATGTTTAAGAACAATCTGTAGAAAATATATTTTAATTTCAGTTGATGGAGAAAAGGAATTAAATTGTCAAAGCTGGATTAAAAATAAATAAAATATAATACTTATAGATATAAACAAATAGGTTGTTGATTTTGGGAAATCTTTCTCTAAAATATTAAAACAGATCCTGGTCATCCAAAGAGAGTCATTAGAAAAAATGAAGATATCAAACCCAAATTTAAATCTAAGAAAATTGAAAAAGGAAGTAAAAAACCTGATAAAACTGGCGTGAAACATTGGAAAAGTAAGCAACTGTCAGGGAATGTTTCCAGAAAGCGCAAGCTTCAAGGTGAAACAGAAGGTAAGAATGTGTTTCTGAAAGCTAAATGTATTAATCTAACAGTTCCCTTCAATGGTTTTGCACTTTTAAAAAGGGTCTTTGGGTAGAAAAGCTATAAAAGGACCTCTGTCACTTCCAAATCAGACCACATCAAAATAGACTCAGACTTTGATTCAACACTGACCAGTTTATACAGGTTTTAGAACAAGAGGCCTCAATTAAAAGTTAGCTGTTTCTTCAAGACCTGCCATTGCTGAAATTACAATGAGGACAAAATGAACCAAAATTAGTTGAAGATCTTGGATGAGAACCCAGAAAAACATAATTTTAAACATTTGGTGCAGTATTAATTAGTACAGATGGTATTCACTACATATTAACCTCTTCTAAAACTACATTTTGTTTTATTTATTTATCATTAGGCTCACAAACTAAAAAGCCTAAGTGGGCTGACATCAAGAAGAAAAAGAAGGAGCTAAAACAGAGCCGTCAGCTGAGTGACAAGGCCAATTATGACATAATTATTAAAGGAAAACAAATTTGGGAAACTCTGCGGCGGTAATCATAATTGCTACAGTTGTATAGTCAATAACCTAATGTCTGTTTTTGTTTTTATTCAGTGCAGAAATGTTTTTAGTCTTTGTGCAGAGGTGATCTTTCTGAACAGTCAAAGATCATCTCTGCAAAATTAAGGGCTTGGTTGATGTTTGGATATCATAAATATAGTAGTGATGTATGGGGGGATGGATGGATGGATGGATAGATAGATAGATAGATAGATAGATAGATAGATAGATAGATAGATAGATAGATAGATAGATGGCATCTTATAAAGAAAATATAATGGAGAAAGAGATAATGGATGCCCAAAAGGCTGAACTCATAAGTTATTTGGTGATATTATTATGTACGTAGTTGATCTACTCCACATGCTGTTGCAAATACATTTGTCCTGATAGTTTAAGAGTGCTAACACATAATTAGAACAGTTTAACTGTCAAAATAAAAATAATAAACTATTGGTTTACTCCTGGGTGCAATTGTAGAAAAAACTGTGACAAGGAAAAACGCAAGAAGCTGTTGAGTGATCTTCAGAAGTTACTTCATGGAAAAATTAAAGATGTAAGGAATATAAAACGTATATATATTTTGAAATACAGTAGAAGCAGTGCAATTTGCAAATTGCTGAATAGTGAATATGTGAATAGTGAACAAATTTATGCAAAGTTGTATTCTCTCCATAGGAGACTTAACTGAAATTTGGATGATCTCATTTCCTTTTTTTTTGCACAAACTTGCCATAATTTAGTATACTACAGACAGATAACTATTTTTAGCTAACCAGAGTTATGATTGTACAATAGGTGGCCATATAAATTGAAATAAATAAAGGTAGTCCTTGACTTACAACAGTTCATTTAGTGACCGCTTGCGGTTACAGCAGCACTGAAAAAAGGGACTTATGACTGTTTTTCAAACAACCGTGGCAGCATCCCCCATGATACGTGGCCAAACCACAGATGCTTGGCAGCTGACTCATATTTATGACGATTGCAGTGTCCTGGGGCCATGTGGTCCCTTTTTGCGACTTTCTGGCAAGCAACGTCAGTAGGGAAACCAGTTTCATTTATCAACTATGGCAAGAAGAGTCATAAAGTGGGGCAACATTCACTTAACAAATGTCTCATTTAGCAACAGAATTTTTGGGCTCAATTGTGGTCATTAGAAAGCTAACGATTTGTAAGAACTGCTTGGCATTCCAAATCTTGAAGCAGTGAAAATTATTGAAGCAATATGTTTCAGATTAATTTATTTCTTTTTTGAAGGTCATAGCATTCTTGTGCTATTTGGCAATTTGTTTTTGGACCATATGTTATTGTTCTTCTTTATAACTCCAGCCAGCTATGATGATGACAATCATCATCATCATCATCATCATCTTTTTACATTGTTGCTAAATATTTAAAAAGTAGCAAGATCCTCCAAATATGATGCTACATGTTTGTCTCCTCAGATGGCATTTGCTCATGATTCCACACGTGTCATTCAGTGTTATATTCAGTTCGGCAATGAAAAACAAAGGCAAGAAGTATTTGAAGAATTAAAAGGTACATTTCCTCAAAGAATCTGGGTTGGTCTCTGAAATACTTTATGGGTCAGTTTCTCACTATGGTTTTCCGTCCCACAGAAAGCTTCACAGAATTAAGTAAGTCCAAGTATTCTAGAAACATTGTGAAGAAACTTCTCATGTATGGGTAAGTGTTCAGTGCATCCATATACTTCATTCGTATATAGCCTCATATTTGACTAAAGAGCAACAATGCTTGTTTTCCTCCTGTTTTGTTTGAATTGGAAAAATTAAAGAAAGGGTTCTGAAAGACTTTTCTTTAGAACAATGAGCAGAATATAAAAGGATAAGTATTCCTATGTCTTTGCTGAACAAAAACTCTGTAAAAATTACATAAGAGAATGGCTTTTCTAAGGAGAATTATTCAAGCTTTTGAAAAGATTCATTTTAAACCAGATGAAACAGATTAATAACTGATAGGGTAGAGAAGCGAGTCTCACTCTGATTGGGTCTTCATTTTTCAAAAAGATGTTAGAATCCCAAAATAGTAAGTATAAAAAAAAATTCAGAAAATGTGCCTAATTAGATTAGATATCCCAACAATGAAAAAAAACCCTGTTATTGAAGATACAAGGATCTGAAAATAATAAGGGAACAAAAATTATTCGCATTTTGTTTTGTTTTACATTTTCCTTCTAAAAACATGGCAAAAACGCTAGCAATATGTAGTTCTCTTTTGTAAATTAAAGTTAATTCATTTTATAAGTTTGTAACAACTGTATGAGTTAGTCATATCTTTTTACTTTTATAACAGTAATTTCTGGGCAAAGCTTAATAAGGTTGCAGATCCTTGGAAAGCGATTTGGAACACATGGACACATTTATAAAATAGTTTATTTTCATTTTTAAAGTACTTCTATTTTCAGATATGCACAGCTGTTCCAAAGCTGCTTTTGGCTGTCTGCTCACATGTGTCCATTTGTAGCTCCAAAATTTATATTCTGTTGTTGTTGGTGTTGAAAGTGTTAAAAGGGGCTTTGCAAAATAGAAATGTAAATGGACTATTTTATGATCCCAACATGTTCACAAACATGCTTCAGAAAATCACTATCACACGTAATGAAATTCAGTTGCTCAGAAATAATTTAGTCAGGTATTTTTTGTTGTTGTTTTCTGATGCCTGCTTAATATCTGAGAAATGCTGGTTTGATTTATCTAAATATGAGATACTTTGTGAAAATAACTCCAAATGGAATGCCATTCTTTATTGTGGATGAACCATTCATGCTGCAAAGTAACCTTGACTTATAAAAACTATAACTTCCTCATAAATTCAGCTTAGTGTGAAAAGCCAATTCCAATCCTGCCTAAAATTTGGTGTACATGTCATAAAACTGATGAGGTCCCCCCAGGATTGCCCTATAATTCCCTCCCCAAATGTATGGGGAAAAACAAAAGAAAAGGACCCAAACATGTCTGCCTCATTTCTAGATGGTACTATATCATCACTGTATATGCTCCCTGTGACCCTAGGAACCAGAGTTAAGTCAAAAATAATGAGTTTTTCCCGACTGAAAAAGTAGCTCATTCTTGAGTTAAAATCCTTGGTTGATTTTCTATTGTCCCTATTTTCTCTTTGCCCACTGTATTTATTTCTGAAATAGAACAAAGCCACAAATTGGAGAAATAATCAAAAGTTTTAAAGGTCAGGTTAAAAAGATGTTACGGCATGCTGAAGCATCTGCAGTGGTGGAATATGCCTACAATGATAAAGCCATTCTTGAGCAGCGGAACATGTTGACAGAGGAGCTTTACGGTAATACCTTCCAGGTCTATAAGGTGATTATTTGATAGACTTTTTTTCCTTCAAAAATATTTTGAGCTTTTCTTTCTGCTATCTGACAGCTGAAATGACTTTTGAGATATGAGAGGAAAGGAAGAGTAGGCAAATCAAGAAAAAAAATGAGTTCCAAGAAATCTCTATATACCTTATCCTACCTTGCTTCTTTGGGGCATATGTACCATTAGCTTCTCTCATGAACCTTAATTTTTCCTTGGGTGGAATAGCCTTGAGGCTGCAGGATTTTTGCCCTTTTTCTTTTTTTACCAGAGAAATATAAAGTGCAAGGATGCAAAAACCTGTGATCTTTCAAATATTGTTGCATTGCAATTGACATTTTGGTAGATTAGTCAGAAGCACTAGATTAGAAACTGGGAGTCTGTGAGTTTTAGCCCAGCCTTTAGCACAAAGGCAAATACATAGGTAGTCCTCAACTTACTATGACAATTGGGTTCAAAATTTATGTTGCTGAGATATTTGTTAAGTGAGTTTTGCCCCATTTTACGATTTTTCTTGCCACATTTGTTAAGTGAATCACTGCAGTTATTAAATTAGTAACATGGTTGTTAAGTTAATCTAGTTTCCCCATTGACTTTGCTCAAAAGTCAATGCAGTGCAACTGTCATAAATGTGAGTCAGTTGCCAAGCATCCCGTGTAAATCACGTGACCATGGGGAATGCTGCAATGATCACGAGTGTGAAAAATGGTCCTAAGTCCCTTTTTTCAGTGCTGTTGGAATTTTCAATAGTCACTAAATGAACTGTTGTAAGTCAAGGACTACCTGTAGATGGCTTTGGGCCAGTCCCTTTCCTTTAGGCTTTAGTCCTGGAAATGTTTCCATGAAAACTCCCTGCAATTACCAGGAGTCAAGACCAACTTTTAGGAACCCCCAAAAATTTGAGCAGTAAAGATTCCACATCTCTGAATTATGGAACTTATTTTGCAGTATTGTTGAAGGTATTACATATGTGCTATTATGTTTATCGTATTCTTCAAGAACGATATTCTTCAATATTTTATAACTTGAATAATTTCTTGAGGGACAACCATGTTAATTTTTTGCAGCAAAGAAAATGGGTATCATTTAATACCCATTTAAATCCTTTTTATATTAATTAACCTTTAAAATAAATGCATTCAGTATTTATCTGAACAAATGCAACGAAGAATGGCCATTTTTGAAATGTGGAATTTAACATGTTTGTTCTGAAAGTTGGTTTCCACAGCTTTAAAGTTTTTGTGTATTTTAATCTCCTTGGTATAAAATTTTGGAACCTAACCTGTATTGGCAGAAAAAAGTATTTTGTAGAGCATGGGTTATAAATTGTTACAAATGAGCAGATGGCTAACGTGCATATATAATTTTAATTAAAAAAAGATAGAAACTTACAATTGAAGTGTCATACTTCAAACTTTGTTTTAACTTGAAATGTTAAGTTCCATTACACAACAATCTGTTTTATCAGAATTCTTAAGTTTAAGTAAGATTGGTAAATATTTTTTTAATAGTAAATACTAAACACAAAGTACATTAACAGGAAGTTTGGAAATTTTGATAGATATATTCTGTAAAAGGCTATTAACCATGAGGTATTGTTGAAGGTATTACTTATGTGCCATTATGTTTATCGAATTCTTCAAGAACAATATTCTTCAATATTTTATAACTTTAATAATTTCTTGAGGGACAACCATGTTAATTTTTTTGCAGCAAGTGTTTTTTGTAGATATCTTTCAGGCTCATAGTCTTATTGTGGAAAAAGGTTTATTGGATCAAGTAGGCTATGATTACATATCATATATGATTGTCAAGTTTGTTTTAAAGAATCAGTTCAGAGTGATTTTGTTCTGTGGTATCCAATTTGCAGTTGGGTTGGGCAGTCCATACTAAATAGAAGCTTTTCTAGGAGTTCAATTTCAAGAACCCTTGTACTACATTTATTTCAGATGTTATGTCTGTAGTAGTTCCTAGTTATCTTCTCAATCCTAGAGCCTTTGAATTAATTCAACAAAGCCAGAGTGCCAGATTAAGCCATAGCTGACTAGCAATTGAGAATTTTGGATAAGTGTGTTAAAATCTTGTGTTTTCTTATTCTGTATGTTTTTCTATCTATATTCTATGTTCTATACATTTTTCTATCTTGTTTCAGACAGCAGATCAATCAACCTTGGGTCAAGTCCTAGAGATTCAGCCTGAAAAGCGAGAAGCCATTATGGATGAGATGAAACAGATCCTTACTCCAATGGCTCAAAAGTAAGCACAAATGCCAGGCTGCTTGGATGCTTGACTTGAAAGCCTGTTTTAGGGGAAATTCTGATTTTCCTTAAATCCATTTGAAATGGTGAACTTGGTTAGATCCCGCTGAAGCTTTGTCCTCTGAAACTACTGTCTTGATCCAGCCACAAATGAAAATATGCGGCACTATGTGTGTTATTGCAAATATTTCACATCAGGGAAATACAAAGTTCTTTTTTATTGTCTTTCTTTCCCCCTTACAGAGAAGCTGTAATAAAGCATTCATTGGTACATAAAGTTTTTTTGGACTATTTTACTTACTCTCTCCCTAAACAGAGATCTGTAAGTATTTATTCATTAAACTATGTTTACTTCATTACATTCATTACTTATGTTTTTAATCTGTCTTCATGTTAAATAGAGTTAAATGTCATACCAGATACTTAGTGCTCTGTTTGGACTTTCCAATAATAGCAGTAACGATGAAATAATCCAGTCCAGCCAAGGATATTATGATTCGACTCTCGGCAACTTTGCTTGCTGGGTCAGGTATGGCAGCCTCACTGCCCCTCAGAGTGTTTGTTTGCACTTTTTTCAATAGAATGTATACCTTGATCTACTTTCTGGCACAGTTAGTCACTTATAATTGAAATGTAAGCCTGTCACCTTACATTAAATTGCATAAAGGGCTTTTTTCCATATCATATTTGCAAATAAATTTGCAGAGAAATTCTTTCTTCGTGCATGTTTTTGTTAATACAACTTGGTTACGTGCTAAAATGTGATGCAGATTCTAGAAGCCTGAAATAGTTTTTAAGTTAGGAGTTAACAGATTCCTCACCAAATTAAACTTTTCTTTTAGAAAGCAGACATTGATTCAACGTTAGGAACAGGGCTATTATTTAAGGGGGAGCGTAGAGGAAATAATACAGATTGCTTAATATCTAAGCAGTATTGTTGTGAGAGAAAGCATTGAAGATTAAATAAATTTTATTTGCGGGAGACAATGGTGAGTTCTTAAAACTGTTCCCTAAAACAGTGTTCTCTGTTTCTAGGAAATGATTGAAGCAATTAGAGAAGCTGTTATTTACTTGGCACACACCCATGATGGCGCCAGAGTAGCCATGCATTGCTTGTGGCATGGGACTCCCAAGGTACTGTGCGTGAAGGAGCTTTTTGTGCAGAAAGTCTTACTCTATGGATTGGCGTCAACCAGTTGTCTCAGTTGCACGAATCAAAAACGCAGTGTATTTTGACACTGTTTCAAATAGAGAAACATCTATGCATTTTATTGGGATTCATTTTTGAGAAGCACCAAAAAGGATTAGTTGAGTGGTTAGTTTAGGGCTTGGATACATTCTGCTACCAACTTCAACTAATCCAAAGGTATAGATTGATTCACAGTAGATATGCGTATGGTGATATATTTTGTTTAATGCAATTTTGACAACTTTTAAGACTGGTGGACTTCAACTTCCAGAATTCCCTAGCCAGCCATGTCCAGATGAATTTAGAGTTGTTAAGGTTGGGAAACCCTGGTTTAATGGAAGCAAATTTAGTGTTTTTTTGATATGCAAACAAAGAAAACATTAAATGTGTAACATTAAGAAAAAGTAGGAATAAACAAACAGAAATTAAGAAAGAAAGAAAAATGATCATGCTATTTGCTAATTGAACAGTTCTGAGCAGTTTGAAGGAAAGAGTAATTTACTTACTTACACTCTTAACCTACGCTTGCATAACTGATATACAGACTGACATAGAGAGTAGAATGTGGAATGAGCATTAGATGTATTTCACTTCATACAGCGATTTGAGAGTTGAAAGAAGCAGAGATTAGTTGCTTATCTTACAGTACAAAAATGGTTTCAACTGTTCTGGTGGATGCCTTTCTATCCCTAATCCAGATGTGGATCCCTTAATATTGCATTTGCTTAATTATGATAAGTTTTTTTTAAGTCAGCAGCCTGTTATAGCATGTTATATTACAAGTATTTTAAAGTGTGAAGCTTCTCACTATTATTCCATTTCATACTACTTAGGACAGAAAAGTGATTGTAAAAACAATGAAGACATATGTTGAAAAAATAGCTACAGTGAGTATTTTTAATGTGTCCTATTGTAATCACATACAGTGCAATCCTAATTCAAGCTTACTTAGAAATAAACAATTTTATTCAGTAGCGTTTGTAGGTTTAGGGTTTCAATTTCATGATCTCATATCTGGAATACTGCTTTACCCCAATATGTATTCAGAAGAAATTAATAGTGACAATTATGTGTGTAATTGTGTTACGTATATGTAAATATCATTAATACACATGTTTAAAGAAGAGTTTTCAGGAATGTTGATAAGCTTGAAAGAAATCCCGTGCCAAGAAATTATAGAATTTGTTCAGTTATGATATATATGAATATTTAAAAAAAAATAGAATCCAGAAAGATAGATAAGCGTTAACAAATTTACTGAGGGATAAGTCCCACAGAGTTCATTGTCTAATTTTAAATAAATGGGCATTGGAATTTAGTTTTATATAAGACATTTGAGAGGTTTAATATTTTGGTGGGTTGGATGTTGCTTTTGGCTATGAAAGAGAATCTTTGTTTAAATGTTTCAGCAAAAAAAAGTGTTAAAATCAGAAATAAGATGAATAATAACTTTGGATAATTAGGAGCTAGTGTTCAAGAATTGTTTTGGCTTGTGTCTTATACTTGTCATTTTTGGCTCCTGTTTCAGGGTGAATTTTCACATTTGGTTTTGCTGGCAGCATTTGACTGCATTGATGATACTAAGCTTGTGAAACAATTGATTCTATCTGTAAGTAAATACGATTTCCAATCTTCATTTTTAATCATTCACCTAGCAGAGTAATATAAGTAATGTCAGAAATTCCACTGGTTTTATACAAAGATGATAGATAGTCCTGAACTTACCACCACAATTGAATCCAAAATGTCTGTTGTTAGTGAGATATTTGTTAAGTGAATTCTTGCCACAGTTGTTAAGTGAATCACTGCAAGTCGGTAAGTTAGTTGAGTGAATCTGGCTTCTTTGTGTACTTTGCTTGTCAGAAGGTCCCAAAAGGGGATCATGTGACCTGGGGCACTGCAACCATCATAAATATGAACCAGTTGCCAAGCATCTGAATTTTGATCACATGATCATGGGGATGCTGGAAAGGTCAAAACTGAGAAACAATCCTCAGTCAGGTTTTTCAGTGCTGTTGTAACTTTGAACGGATACTAAATGAACTGTTGTAAGTCGAGGACTGCCTGTATTCATTTTGTTATTTAAAATGAAAAATGAATTATCCAAGTTGGAGCAGTTGGCTTCTTGGCCACTGAGGTGAAGGAATACTTCTTTTTTTATTCTTTTTCCAATTATCCGTTACTCTTTCTTTTGTGGTAGAAATTTTTAAACTGTATATCGGTGTACCAAGTGAAGGATCGTGCATTGGATTAAAACATTGGGGCTGAATAATGCTTTCCTATATATCTTGAGATAAAAAGAGATGACTGAAGGCAAACAAAGAATATGAGATAAATGCTTAGGATTTTCGCTTCATAGACCAGGCTGTCCAAGCTTGACAGCTTTAAGGATTGTGGACTTCAGCTACTAGAATTCTCCAGGCGACAAGGCTGGCTAGGGAATTCTGGGAATTAAAACCCACAAGTCTTAAAATTGCCAAGATTAGACATTGTCCACTTTTCTTCTCCCCGATCCGGCACCAAGATAAAACTAGCGTCTTAAGTGACCAAATGACCAAAAAGGAACTGTGCTGAGGGAAGGGCAATCCTTAGCATGTCTGCCATATTCCTCTTTTGCCTTCATGGAGCTTTCGTGCAAGGATCCTTTCATGTAGTGGACTTCTCTCTGCAGTGATAGAATCCAGTGGATGAATCGCTAGCAATGTGTTCTATTTTTTTTTTTTTACCTCTGTGATGGATCATTTATTACTGTCAGCCCAACAAGGTAGAGTAGACTCTGAAAGCCTTGCCATTTAGATCAGGGCTCCTTTTATTGTAATAACTGTAGTAACAGAATCTTGCAACTCTAAATCTGCTTCTCCCTTTCTCCTTTTAAATTACATATTGTCTGAGACATTCCCCCTTAAGTTCTTATTTATTACTTAAATTGATTTCTTGGCCCAGGCTCAAGCCCCTCTTATCTGACTGCAGCTTTGGCTGCAATTCTTCCTCCTGTCCTTCAAGGCCATTCCTTATGCCCTCTATAGTTAGTTGCTTGTCTCCCCCTGCAGCTAAAAATTTCTACCTTAGCACAGTATTAATGTAAACCTTAAAAGGTTACCTTAGCAGATACACTGTTTGTAGGATAGCAGCTGAGAGAGAAAGAGATCAGGTGTGTGACTAATAATTCATTTAAAAGAGCCATCTTAGTCAAAGTGGCAATAACTTTTGACATTTTAAAAGTTTTTTAGATCAGCTCAGACACCATGTTGTAGCTTTCTTTTTATAGTCCTGTTGCTGTGCATGTCTTGAATATATGAGTTTGAAATGATGTTTAAATTCCTTTCTCAGTCTGTTTGTTGAATTCCACTTAGCTTTTATCGTATTTGAGCTTTTCAGCCCAAAGTGATATAGACAGTATTGAATTGAGTTCAGCTCCTGGTGACATAACTGCATTTTTCTTGGCTACATTACAAGTATTGTCTCAGGTGATAGTTGATTTCTTAGCCTACACCCTTGGTATTTATATATGGTCTCATCCAAATATTAACCAAATCTGGTCCTATTTAGCTTTCTGACTTTAGCAGAGTAGCTTAGGTGCTACCAAGTTAAAATTGAAACAGATGCTGCTCTGATTCAATGGTGAAATTGATGAGTTTGAAGTTTCCACTGAGGGGGAAGCTGTGAGATGGCAGGTTTTTGAGGCATCTATTGGTTCTAAGGAAACGAGAGTATGGCCAATTTAAAGATTAGACTGGGTAAACTGAAGAAAGAGAACCATGATTGAAGTCTGATAAGCATTACCTTCACTTGACTAACATCACATTTTCTTTGCCTCAAACCGTTGTATAATAGAGCTCAAACGTTTAGCAACATGTTTGGTATTCCCCAAAGACTTTTTAGTGGTTATTACCATTGTATCCTAAAGCAATTACCTTAAACTTGAAATTTAAGCTCGCGTCCTTTCAGTCTCCCTATGCTTTATTGTCTGATTTGCTACAGCTGAGCGAAGGATCATTCCTCTATGTTGTGATTCTAATTTTGCTTATCCTGCTGTGAGATTTTGAGACTTCCTTTATTAACAAAGATGTAGGTAGCAATAATGGCTATGCAGGTTGCTGCTTGTGCTTATAATAGTAACTTCAGTTTGCAAGGCAGTTTCCTATCTTATCTCATTTGGGTGGCAAAACCCTTAACCCATCCTCCTCCAAACTTTTTCAGGTTTGTGTTTAATTCTGTCTTGTCCCATATATGGTTGAGAGTTAGATATCTATCAAATAGTTCAGAACAGGAAGCCAGAGCTACTCTTTTAGTTGAAGAATTTATGTATCCTCATATCTTCTCCATTTTTTTTTTGATGGGATGGCAGTAAAGCAAGAGAAGAATCTTCACTTGGTGATGGACGCTCTCAAGAGAGAAAAGGCTTATCAAGTGATACGTTTGAGTATATAGACTCCTCCGCTCATTCATGAATAAAGAATGGATGGAGTAAGCCTACATACTCCTAAGCTAAATGATTTTGATGAGTGAAGAGCATGACTAAAATTTGGGTTTGTAAAAGAGCAGTAGGCAATATAGTTAATGAACAATACTATATCTTTAAAAAAAACTATGAGGAAAAAGCTGACAATTTCAATGAAAAGATTACATTACCTTCATGTTAAATGCAACTAAACTTGACTGTTAGATAAACTGCCATCTGTTTTCATGTCTCTCCTTTAATCATGTTATTGAAATGCTTTTAGTAATACTATCTACGTAAAGTTTGAAGTATCTGATTTAAACTTAAAATTCCAGCAAGCGGGATTGATCAATATGGTTGCAACAAAGGGGATGAAAAAAATGGAGGAATTATCAATTGGTAATATTTTGAAATCATGTCATAGGGAAAACGTCTTAAGTTAGACTTTACACTTCTGACGTATTCATTTTTTTCTTACTGATGAGCCAGGCTGCTGAACAGCAAAATGAAACAACATTGCCCTTTAATATTTATCTAAAAGCTTTATACTGCTCATATCTGCAGGGTTGCTAAAGATGGCTTTTGAAATGAGGAAAAAACGGTAGTGGTGATGGGGAAGGAATGCTTAGCTCATCAGTATAAGCAAAAGAAAATGCAAGGAAGGGTGGTGATATTATTCCCATCTATACTTTTGGCTAATCAGTTCTGGTCCATGATTTGGAGGAAGGCCCTTGCATTAGCATAATGCCTTATTTAGTCATAGATAAGATTTGAATAAGGATAAAAGAACTGGCTTCCTTCCCCCCCAAAAAAACCCACACTGAAATTGGAAAAAAAATGTTATTAACAGATTTTTTTTTTGTCTTTTCCCCAACACTTAGGAATTGAATGGTAATTTAGCCACTGTTATAAACAACAAATATGGAAGGAAAGTCCTGCTGTATTTATTGAGTCCACGGGACCCAACGTATTTTTCCCCGGCAATAATCAAAATCCTGCAACAGGGGGATGAAAATGCTCACAGGTACTTGGGTGCAATTTCTTGAGATTTCAACATACCTTCTCCTCTTGGGTTATGTCTGAACGTGTGCTGCTTTTCACCCTTCCAAATCCCAGTTGATTGAATTATGGCTATAAAGCTTCCTAAGAATGCTGTGCAAAGTGGAATTTGACCTATATTTTGTTGTACATAAATGACCTTAAAAGATGGCATAGCAAGGTAGATTTTTTTTTTTAAAAAAGTGTAAGGTGACATTTTGGTGCAAAATAACTGGATTTTGTATCAGGTAATTTTCTATTAATTTTGATCACATTTGTTTTTAGTGGATTTGGTAAAATAATAGTTTATTACCGTGTGAGTCCAGTGACAAACAAGAACAGCAGGTGTTTATTTCAACACTGGCAGAATAATGCTTGTTATGCTTTACAGCTGTTTATGATACAGACTAGATTAGTTTCTCAGTATTCATTTCAATACTCTTGTTTTTATCTGTTTTTATCCTGCCTTCATATATCACTTTTATTTTTTGGAAAAATCTTCCAAGGATACAGAATCTGACCTATTCAAGGCTAAGCGATGTTGCTGAATCCAAAGGAGATTCTGCAAAATTTTTGGATGGATGTCAGCCTTCAGCAATGTGCCAGTGTCGGAGACCTCGGTGAAAGAATACTTGCAGAAAAACAAATGGATTTTTTCCCAAGGTTCTTTCACTAGAAGATAAAGCCAAGGGATAGGCGTGCTCACTTTCATTTAGTTTCCTTGTTTGGATATTATAAGCAACAGAGGAGCCAGAGGTTTATTATACATGGTTGTGAGGACTCTAAACTCCGGTGATGAGTTGATATCAGTAGTTCAGGGTTGAAATGTGGAGTCCTTGGTGCCCTCTGAGCCCTTTGGTTGTTTTCTTGTGGATGTTTCAGTACCAAACTATGTAACTTCATCAGTGCTAGTAAGGACTGAGGTTTGCTGTCATTTTATATTCTAGTGACTTGCCCAGTCAGTCTAGGTGGGTGTGGTCTTGGTAGTTCCTTGGCAATGAAACATCTGCAAGAAAACACCCAAACTCGGAAAACAACCAGGGTCCCCTGATACCAATAGTTTATTGAAGTGGCATGTGGTTTCTGAAAAAGTGGCAAGAAAAAAGACTTGGAGGCATTCTAGTCAATTTTTTAAAAAGTTTGATTAATGTTCTCCATTTCCAGGCATTTTGTTATCATTTGTTTATTATTCATGTGTTTGTGGGAGGGGTTCTATTAATTTGTGCAATAAAACACTAAAAAGAATTAAATTGGGTTTTTCAGGCAATTGTTATTGGGCCCTCTTTGAGACAGGATATTTTATTTTAAACATCCCACAAAACTCTGCAAGTGTGAACAAATGAATGTTCAGGCCATAGATCAAAATACAACAGGGAGAAGCGAACTCTCACCTTCATTCCTAACATAAATATACTCACTGCCAACAGGCAGCTTTGATTGATATCAACCCATAGGTAATTAAATGGCACCTCAAAATACACCTCCTGCTAACTGTGTAAAAACAGTGCCACTCTGCAGGCCATAGGCATGGCAGCCACGAGAGTCACACCACTGTCTGTCTCTTGATCTTTCCAGTGGCACTAATTGCAGCAGCCACGCCAATCACTTTCTTGATGACCAGTCTTGGTCTTTAAAAATTAAAAAACAGTCAAGGAAATGGAGCCTGAACTGAGGATTGCCACCGTGTGGCTGTTAATGAGACTTGTTTCTGGCCTGAAGCTGAATTCTCCATTCTAGATATTTCTCATGAAAATATGCTTCATAAGCGCTTTGCTCCTTCATAAACACTTGAGTGATTTTGGTAGAAACAAGTGCTTTGCAAAGATCCAGTGCATACAGTGCATGATCATGGGTTATCTCTAGGGCAAGGGTCCCCAACTCCCTGTCTATGGACCAGCACCGGTCAGTGGCATGCCAGCAAACAGACAGCATGCAAAACTATGGTCCCTCCGGTCCACGGAAAACCTTCCTCCACGGAACCAGTCCCTGGTGCCCCAAAGCTTGGGGACTGCTGCTCCAGGGCTGCGATTTGGAGTGTAAATCAAAACTTTTCATCTGTTGTTAGAGATCATTCTGGGAAGAATATGAAAATAATGTGCTGCTGAATTTGGATTTTTTAATTTGGGCATCAGAATTTTGTACAATTCCCACTTTTCTTTGTCAAGAAAACATTTTTATTCTGTCTGTCTTTATTCCACCAGTAAAAAGGATGCAGATGTTCGCCATAAAGAGCTTCTGGAAGCCATTTCCCCTCCCTTATTACAGCACCTGGGTGCACACGCTGAAGAAATGGTGATGGACAAAGCTGCATTCATTGTAGTGACAGGCATCCTCAAGGCCGCTGTCGGTGATGTCCAGCCCGCAATGAAAGCCATCTCTGCTCTTGCTGCAAGAAAGTTGATTCCGGGGGGACAAGATGGACAGGTAAGCTAGACACAAAGCAAATGGTAATAAGCAGCCCCAAATTAGCAGATTTCTCTTTCATTGTTGTTCACTCATCTCTCTGAGGTAATAGTGATTACCTCAGGGTAGGAGTGTCTAACTTTGGCAATTTTAAGACTTGTATAGACTTCAATTCCAAGAATTCCCTAGTCAGCATGTAGTATTTTGGAGTCATACATATATATGAGATCTTCCATCCGTTACTTTTGTCTGCCCTCAGGTGCTTTGGAGAATAGGTCCAAACCTCTTCTCTGTGACAGCACCTCAAGCACCGGAAGACTGCTATCATGTCACCTCTAGTCTTTCTTTTTGTTAGACTAGACCAGGCCTGTCAACTTGTGGCCCTCGGGCCGGATGCGTCATGTGCTGGCCACTCCCACGTCTGGTTTAGCAAAGGGGGGGAAAAGTTGTGATACCTCACGTGATGCCACTTTGACGATGCAAGTTTGACACCCCTGGGCTAGACATGCCACTTCCCTCAATTGGGCATCGTTTTGCACACATTCAGGCAGAAAGTATAAAGCGGAACTAAAATGGAAGTATAGCTGTCTCTAAGATCCTAAATGCAGCTTGTGTACAATGGGGCGAGCTGTATTTCTGTTCAAACCTGCGTGGTTCCCTTGAGATCTCTGGGCTCAGTACAAAGAGCAGGGCAGAAGGGATGCAGAAAGAAGGCCCGTATGTAGTCGGACGACAAGTTAGGGTTCAGGGAAGTGGCCTAACTGGAGTGAAATTCGAAGCATTTTACAAAATTTGCCCAGTTAGTGACTTCAGGAACTATGAAAATGATAGAACATTTCAAAATAGTATTTGAGACTGAAGCTGATTTTTTTTCCCCCAAAAGAAGTAAATTTCTAATCTGAGTGTCCACCAAGATCTCTGGTTGTTTAACATTTAAACTTTTTTTTTGCTGTTTCTCCACTGATTACTTAATGGGCCACTTAATTATATGATGAGTAGGTGCATGGGACACTTCTTAGATGCTATTTGACCCTACTTTTAAAAAGCTGCGCTTATGAGGATAATGAAAAGTGAGCCCAGTGAAATCTTGATGTGTTCATGCTTTATTTTAAAGCTTCACATTGCTGAACATCCAGCCGGTCATTTGGTGCTTAAGTGGCTAATAGAGCAAGATGAGAAGATGAGTCAATCTGGCAGAGAAGGTATGTTGACATGTCTGTAAATCAGAGGTGAAATTAATCAATAGACCTTTAATTGGTAGAGGGTTGGGTAAGATAGCGAGGTCCTGGTTTCCATTTTGGGTGCCTTAATTAAAATAACTTCTCTGAGTGATGTGGCTCCAAGGACAGGGAGAATTGCTCATAGTAAGAATGGAAAAGTATTTCTAAAAAAAGAAGGGCATGCTCTTGCAAAGCAATTCAAGGGATACGTTTCCTTTTCCTTGAATTCAAATGTGTGTATATGTGAATAACATAGAAAATTAGATTGAAAAGCACAAATGCTCTGAATGTTACAAACCAGAATTATGTGTAATCTGATCAGTATCTCATTAAAGTGAATGCAGATGTGTTGATTTAATGTATAAATGATCTGAGGTGGCAAATGTATAATGCCTGCTTTGAATTCTCCTAAATAGGGTGTTTTGCAAGAATCCTGATAGAACATGTGGAAATTGACCTTCTAAAGACCTGGGTGGATGTGAATCGTGGTGCAATTATTCTCTGCCGGTATGTAGAAGGTTTCTAGATTATTGAATATCCATGAAGTTTTGTTTTAGGCAGTGACCTACTTATTTAATATTAATATTTTTAAACCATTGTATTTTAAGAAGTGCCTGTAACCATTCCTGCTAGTAAGTAGCCTGCAGCTGAGTTAACTAGCTGAATCACCTTCAAAGTTTCATTTACTTTGCTTTCAGTTTCAATGTTGTTATTATTTTTAAAGTACAAAGGAAGTAAGCTGAAGCTTTGCTACCTTTTTTTAAAAAAAATTCCAACTGTTGTTGATTGTCTCCTCCCATTGGACTGTTTTTCTTTGACGGTAATAATTTGGCTGTCTGGAGTTCATAAGGTCTAGAGGCTGTGCTGTCACAGCCTTCAGAAGTACCACATTCTTTCTTTATAATGTAGTAATTTGACTTATTCCAGTGAGGTAACCTACAAAGATTGCTAGCTCAGTAATGTGAATAATACAGACATTATTGGTTCTCTTATATATATTGCACATTGCAAATGAGCTTGAAGTTTGCGCTCTTATACAAAGCAGTTTTCTTGCAATTATTGACATAACCTCAAGCAAACAAACTGAGAACACAACAGTTCTGTTTTAGAATAAACCAATATGACATTAAACTATTTGCATCATATCTTCATTTATAGAATTATTTAAAATGTATTGATGCGGTATGAAACTAAAATACCTTTTAACTTGTATTTATTCATTGTAACTACCTGCTTTTGTAGAATAACTACTCTTCTCTATTTGAATCACTGGCAATATTTCCAAGTTAAGTTTTAACTTCTACCTTGTAAGTTTTCTCAGGCATTAGTAATGATGAAATCACTGTAGCAACATGCTCCACTAAATCAAAACTGATGGATCTGTTCAAACAAATCACTAGAAATCGATCAATTGAATCAACTGAATTGTATGTAGAATATCTCCTGAAATCAAATTAGGTTCATTATAATTGCCTTGATGCCTTTTAACAAAGAATAAATGTCCCTTTGGGAGTAGAGGTGCATTCAGTGAAAGCAAACTGGGAATAGAAAACGATATGGTTGCAAGAACAGCTGAACCTCAGAGCCTAAACATAAAGAGGAACAGATCTGTTAATCAGTTTGCTGAGGTGATAATCTTCCCTCTCCAGCCGACCTGATCAAGGTCACTGCAGGAGAGAAAATGAGAAAGGTTCATGATTATGTTCCGGGATTCTAATTAAGCCTACTGAAATAATGATCCGTATGAGGGGAAAATAAAAGGTAAATATACCCTCCAGCTTAATTAATTCCTGGTGATCAGGAGTTTCTTCAGTGCAGGGATATCTAACCTTGGCAACTTTAAGCCTGGAGGACTTCTTTGCTGGCTGGGGAATTCTGGGAGTTGAAGTCCGCCAGGCTTAAAGTTGCCAAGATTGGAGACAGAAGTATTTGTGTTACAGAAGCATTTGGCCTGGTCTTCCTATGGACTTTTCTTCTGTCGTGCCCTTGAGTTCCCAGGTGGTGCCCTGTCCAAAAATCCAGGAAAAACATAGAGATGTGCAAATATTTAGTTCAAGATTGGCTTTTCCAACATGGTTAAGACCATTCCTGAAATGTTCTGAACTTGAGGAAATCAAGATTGCTTTGTCTTTGCAATCCCCACACCCATAACCCCTAATGAAAGGGTACTTATTTCCCTGCTTTTGAAATGTCGATCAGGATCACCGAAAAGCAAGAGGTGAACTTATTTTGTTTCAGTAATCTGAATCTCAGTGGGTGGGTGGGTGGGGGGAACAGAGTTCTGAATGCATGAAGTTCTAGCTGGTTTCCCTACCTGAGGGATCTATAGCAGTGGTCACCATGGCCCACTGGTAGTCTGCGAGAAAATTTTGGTGATCCGCAGAGAAATGTCACCCCTCAGAGCACCCCCAAAGCAATTAATCCAGGCTGCACGGGAACACATGGTCCATGGGAATCCTCCACACCCACTCACTCCTTACCTGGCAAACTTGCTATTCCCCGCCCCCCACACACACACATACAACCATCTGTTGTGGGGGAGATTTAGATTAGCTAGAAAGCAGGGAACCATTGGATTTTTTGCTTTCTAGCTGATCTTTAGATCTTTAAAAGCAGAGCCGAACCTTCCTTAGGACTGAAGCTTCCATTATTCAGTGCAGACTCAGGTAGCCAATGGCAGAAAGATAGATCCCTGAATGAATCTGTGATTCGGTGAACAACTCGATCTGACTGCCTGCTTTGCTTGATTTTGGATAAAAGTTGCTCTTTTCTAATAAAAAAATTCAATATTTACATACATGGTGTGTCGTGAGTTAATTCTGTGAGTTTGCTTGCAAGCAAATTTTATGAGTTTGCTTGCAAGCAAATTTTATGTGACGGACCCAGGTAGCCAGTGGCAGAAAGATAGTTCTCTGAATGAATCTGTGATTCAGTGAGCAACTCGATCTGCCTGCCTGCTTTTGGGTAAAAGTTGCTCTTTTTTATATATAAAATTCAATATTTACATAAATATTTATATTTACATACAAGCCATGCCCAGCCAGTCACATGACAATGTAAATATTTATATTTACATACAAGCCACACCCACAAATTAGGCAATGCCCACAGCACCGGTTAAGAAATTTGAATCCCACCCGTCTCTGTGTGTTTGTGTGTATGTGAGATAGAGGGAGAGAGGTTAGATCAGATCTCTCTCTCTCTCTCTCTCTCTCTCTCTCTCTCTCTCTCTCTCTCTCTCTCTCTCTCTCTCTCATATATTTGTGGAAAATAATAGGTTTCCTTTTTCATTATCCCATTCTTTAAAAAAAAAATATTCTAGTGTTTTTGATACAGATCAGAAAAAATGTTGCTGTTCATATGGATCATTACAAAAACCAGGTTTAAATCAAACTTCCCTTTGACAGGTTTGTCATTGTGAATGTCTACTGTTCAGCCACTGCTTTTCTGAAATAGAACTGTGGGGATTTTTAATTGTGCCTTAGAACAGAACTGGTACATTTGACAAAAATGCTTAATTCCTTGGAGGAAAATCTATGTGACCTAACACACACAGCTGCTAAATAAAGATTTGTGGAGAATTGCATCACTACATGTGGCCAAGTTTTCTATTTGAGGTGCAAAAGATGTTGAGAAATCTGGTTTAGCAGAGAGATCCTAATTGTTTCTGCTTGAATTCTAGGAATGGAGAATTGTTGTTTTTTTAAAAGAAGTCTTTTCTCCCAAGGGTGGTTTTACAACTATTAATTTAGGTGGTTGATACTGCTAGTACTGAGTTTGAGTTTTCTTCCATTATTTTAACTCAACTGGCCATGAATGTAACTAGATGGGTCCAGAATTCAGACAAAGATACTTCAGATCAGACTTGAGCACCACTCGTTCCAACCTATTGAATTGTTTTGAGTCTGTGCAGCAACAATTGTGTGACTGCCAGAAAAGCAGTAACTTCTTTGCGCGGTGTCCTACTGAATCTTTAGTCTTCGGAACCACTGCAGATCTCTCCATTTGATGCAACAACTTATCCGATATCTAATGTGGATTCAGAAGCAGATGCAGAGTATTTATATCTTGCTCTAGCGTCGTATGAGAATTTGAGAAGCTTAAATTTCTGCTCCAATGTTTTGCTAATCTTGGTGGCTGCTTACACTGATGCTTGTCCTTCCCTAAAATAGTAACAAGCCCATAAAGACAAAACATCCTAGAAGGGTCATTGCAGTCTTATATTATGTAATTTACCTAATCTCTTCAAATATGTAATACTAGGTCAGAGTGCTTGCTCTTAGATAAAACAGAACTATTTTGGATCCTGTTGAAAAACAGATTTCTCCCCCCCCCCCACCTCCAATTCAAGCCACGTTAATTCTTTCCTTCTGTTCATTTGGCAGAATCATACTTTTTTTAAAAAAAAAAAAAAACCGCAAGGTTAGATGTGACAATTGAAATGGAATGGAATGTTATGATGAAAATTGAAGAAGATTTTTGCAGGCCACCATTGATATCTTCACCATTGATATTAAAAAAAAAAACCTGACAAACAAGCTCCCTTAGTTTCCCTGGAAAAGTAATGAAAGTTTTTTTCCAGGCATCCTATTATTAATTATGATGCCCTTGTGAATTTGTACACATACAGCCCAGATCCAATTCCCCCTTGCCTCTTTTCGGATGCATTTTAAAAAAAGCAAAAATTAGAATCGCCGTTTATATCTGAGCATGAGATGGAAGTAGCATTGGTAACTCACATTGTTTATCTAGGATAATGCTTAGATGTGGGACGCACATAATTCTGATCAAGTTTTCAATGACTTTTGATATCTCTAACCATGGTATCTTTCTGGACTATTGACCAATAGTTGACACTTGGTTTGGAAACCATTTTGTGATAGTTCAATTCCTTGAGTAGGCAGTTCCAGTCAGAGTATATGAGGAAGGAGTGGCTGAGCCCTTAGACCAGGGGTATCAAACTCAAGTCATCACAACAGCATCATGTGATATATCGGGACTTTTCCCCCCCTATGCTAAACCAGACGTGGGCGTGGCCAGTGCGTGACGCATCTAGCCCGTGGGTTGGAAATTTGACAGCCCTGCCTTAGATACTTTGGTATGGGATGCTTCAGTTTATCCCTTTCCTAAATCCTGTTTCATATTTACTTCATCTGCCTTATTCGGGCACATAAATATCAATGATTGTGCCAGTTATATATCCCTGCCAGGAGACGCAGAAGGAGAATCTAAATTGGGCAAAATAGGCTGAGATTCAGTCCTAGCAAGGCTGACTTGCTATGGGTTCTGGAGCTGATTGACTCTAGGATAGTATTGTTAGTTCTAAATGGTTTGTGTTACCATGCTATTTGGGGTACCCCGAACCCTCATCTCCTGCTCAAACAGCAGCTGGAAGCTGTGTCTGGAGGGCCTTTAGCTCAGGGGTCTCCAACTTTGGCAACTTTAAGGCTGAGGAACTCTGGGAGTTGAAGTCCAAAAGTTTTAAAGTTGCCAAAGTTGGAAACCCCTGGTTTTAGCTCGGTTTCAGCTGGTGCACAAGTTCCTAGAGTTAGAAGGTGTCCTTGTCACATCACAAGTGGACTACCATGCTCTATGTGGTGTTACCCTTGAAGAACATCCAGAAACAGCAACTAGTGGCCTGCATGCTAACTGGAACAAACTGACACTGTCATGTAATATCAATATCGCAGGAACTGTATTAGTTGTTGCTTTGTCTCTGGGTGTAATTCAAGATGCGGATGATCACTTTTAAGAGTTGACCTGACAACTGGCTTTCTTTGAGATTGCTTACTCCAGATAGACAAATGGTTGAAGCTGTATGAAAATATTCCTAATGAATAAAATCCCAGGGTAAATATAGTCCTATTGAAGAAATGTAACTTAATTGAAAATATATTTGAATACACGAAGATTCTGTTTTGTTTTGTTCTGACAACTCAAACATTTAAACAGAATTATTGTTACCTATTTTCTAAGAAGTGGTGTCTCCAATTTTTCCTTAACAAATAGAACTATTTGGTCATATCCTGATCTGCCTGTCATGTATTAATTCAGTTTGTAATAAATATTGATTTTGAAAGGGTACTGTTTAAAACGTATCTTAAGTATTCTCTTTCTTCCTCTTACAGTCTTCTTCAGAGCTCTGATCAAGAAGTTGCAACACAAGTCAAAGATGGACTAAAGAGTGTTATTCCAAAGCTAAAAAGGACTAAAGACTGTACAGCAGCAGCAAAGGCATTGCTGGAGAAATTATTATCCTAATTTAATCATTATTCAGTTCCTCTATGAGAGGGGTATCAAACTCAAGGCTTGTGGGCCAAGTCTGGCCTGCGGGGGGCTTAGATCTGATCCGTGGGGCCACCCTGGAAACAGCGAGGGACTGGCCTTCAGTGTCTCTGCCAGCAAAAATGAAGCTCAGGCGGGCCACGTGAGGCACACCTGAGCTCCAGCTTTACTGCCAGAGGGTTGCAGGAGGCCATCGCAGCCGGAAACGGAGCTGGGGGGGCGTTTTCGCTGGCAGAGCACTCAAGCTGCCACAGGCATGAGTGACGTCAACCTGGCCCCGCACCCCCTGCCCCCCCCCCCCCAAGGACAAACACAACCCTGATGTGGCCTTCAATTAGAGTTTGACACCCCTGCTCTGTGACAACTAGACACCTTTTTCAAAGAAATGGAAAAAAATAGATTTTGGACAGTGTTGGGTTAACTTTAAAACAATTACACAATTTGTCAATAAATTTCTATATCTTTTCCAATGTTTGGCTCTTGAATTTGGCTACTCAAATTTCCTTTCTGTGTCTAACTTCCCACTGTTTATATAGAGGCAATGTGATATCATGGCTAAGGGATGAAGTGAGGAGCAAGGAGACCAGGTATTCGTCCTCCCTCAGTCCTGGAGGCTTCCTGGGTGATTTGGAACCAGGCATCCCCTCTCAGCCTAACCTATTTCACTGGGGTTATTGATCAGGGTGGGTGGAAGAACATGTACAAAAGACAGTATTGGTTAAAGCCAGGGGTGGGATTGTACAGGTTCTCACCTATTTGCTAGAATCGGTTGTTAACATTCTAAGCAGTTTGGAGGAACCAGTTGTTAGAAGAAATTACTGGCCTAATCCTGTAAGGAAGGCAGGAAGGAAACATTCTGGTGTTGCTTACAGAAACTGCCTCTCTGTTAACTCTTATTACATTCTTGGCAGGACTAGACTTCCTGTCTCTGGAACTTCTCTGGAGTTTTTTTCCCCTCCTTTGCTGGTACTTTGCTTGTGTGGAGTGACCATTCAAAGTTACAATGGCACTGAAAAAAGGGACTTATGGCTGTTTTTCACACTTACGACTATTGCAGCATCCCCACAGTCATGAGAGGCCAGGCAAGGAGTTGCATGCCTCGATGTGAGTGATGTTGAGTTGGTCACACCCAGCCAGTGACATGACCACCAAGCCATACCCACCAACTAAGCCACGCCCACAGAACCGGTTGTTAAAAATTTTGAATCCCACCCCTGGTTAAAGCACTAGGCAGGAAACCAGGAGACCGGGAATTCTAGTCCCACTTCAGGCCTGAAAGCCAGCTGAATGAAGTCACTCTCAGCCCAACCCACCTTCACTGTGCTGTTCCCTCATTGGAGCGCCAAGCCAGATAAATCTTAGTAAATGCGTAGCTACGTATACAATCTAGATCAGCACCTCCCAACCTTTTGGACACCAGGGACCAGTTCCGTGGAGAGAGGTTTTTTTCCACATAAAGGAGGAGGCATGGTTTCATGCGCTGCCTACATCCCACGGATGGGGCTTCGCTTGTTTGTGCAGCCTGATTTCTGGCATGCCACAGACCAGTATCAGTCCATGGAACAGGGTTTGGGGACCCCTGATCTAGATGATTCTTATTCCGGTAGTAAAAATTTTTGAATCCCACCACTGCAAAGGAGAAATCCTTCACAGTGGTGAGATTCAAAACATGTTACTAACGGTACTGTGGGTGTGGCTTGGGTGTGGTGTGGCGTGGCTTGGTGGGCGTGGCAGGGGAAGGATATTGTAAAATTCCCAGTTCCAACCCCCTCCAGGGGAAGGTTACTGCAAAATCCCATTCCCCCCCCTACCCACTAACCTGCTTTCCAGCTCCGTTCTCCTGTGCAGGGCAACCAAGAAGACTCAGCCAATCAGCTGAGACTCGGAAGGCAGAGAATAGTTGGAGGCAGGAGCAATTAGAAGTGGTATTTGCCAGTTCTCCTAACTATTCAAAATTTCCGCTACTGGTTCTCCAGAACTGATCAGAACCTGCTGGATACCACCTCTGCTCCTTTGGTCTCTGATACCATAGATGATTTGTTTTTTCACCTTCATTTAACAAACAGTGTATCTTAATAATAGTAGAAGTGGAAAAAAGACAAGCAGAGAAGAAAAGTAGCTCTTCAGTTTTGAAAAGAGGTAGCTCAGCTACTGCAGGGGAGGGGGAACTAGTTTAGGCAATACCAAGGAATACAACATGGGCTCCCATTTTTCAAAGTTAAAGACAAACAATGGTGCAACTTGCAAAGTAAACACCAGCAGCAAGTCCACTGGTCTGCCATCAATCAGTGCTATCGCCGGCTGGCGCTGGTCCAGCCAACCCCACTTGCCGCCTGAAGATAAGCATGCTATGCACAACAGCGGTGATGAAACGCACTGCGTTGGATTAAGGAAAGCTTGGCCTAGGGTTTGCAATTGATCACCCTCTGTTGTGCAATTTGTTGTCCCTGCCCAGCCTCACAAAAGTTGTGGTTTGCCACTATTTGTTTAAAAAATGCATTGAGAGCAATTGCAGACACCTACAAGCACCCTTCTTGTGAAGACAATAAAGATTACCAAGGCTGTGTTCTATATTTCCGATTCCAGGTGTAGAAAGCCTGATGGGTGAAGTTTTTCAGTAAATCCAATTTATTGAATTTACCGATTCGCCTATTTTAATTATTTAAAGAAATTACAGGTAGTCCTAGACTTACAACAGTTTCATTTAATGACTGTTCAAACTAACAACAGCATTGAAAAAAGTGACATGACCATTTTTCACACTTATGACTGTTGTAGAATCCCCATGGTCATGTGATTTATGTTCAGAAATATGACAACTGACTCACATTTATGACGGTTGCAGTTCCCGGGGAAATGTGATCCCCTTTTGCGACCTTCTGACAAGCAAAATCAATAGGGTAGCCAGATTCACTTAACAACCAGGTTACTAATTTAAGAACTGCGGTGATTCACTTAACAAATGTGGTGAGAAAAATCATAAAATGGGGCAAAACTCACGTAACCAATTTCTCACTTAGCAACATAAACTTTGGGCTCAATTTTGGTCACAAGTTGAGAACTACCTGTACACGATCACCCGGTTTTATCAGATATTGCCAGGCAGCCAACCAAGCCAGTACATAAAATAATGTAAAAGCCACAAAGCAACACATAATTAAAAATTTACACACATCCTCATCAACATCTCAAAGCACAAGACAAACAGACAAGGGACTCCGCTAACATCAGAGCCCAGGAGCCCCAGAAAACTCTTCAGAAGGAGAGAGTTTGAAAGGGCAGGCCCCACATCAGACGCAGCATGTCTCCTAGGTGACCGCCAGATGGCCTTGTTTCACAGAAGGTCCTTGGAACAGGTCTGGTGGGACAGCAGAAATAGGTAGTTCCTCCTATCACAGTCACTGGTTTTACTGGGTTTGCTGTTTTCTAACGGAATAAGGTCATGCTTAGCGAAGGGGTCCTCCAAAACCAGTGTGATAACTTGAAATGCTATTTTTGTGTGTGAAAGTAACCTAATTTATGTTATAATTGACTTAACGCAACGCATTTTCATGTGCTGGTTTTCTTTGAAAATCCCATTTTCATTACTGACTTCAGATACGCTTCAAGATTGCCAGGTCTTTGCCAAAATTCCCACAGGCTTGGTAGCACAACTCTGTAGCCAACATAAGCTTCCTCAGTTTTTGCTGGTTAGCATTTAATTACATCTTAATTAATTGCTTCTTAATTAACAGAGGCTGAGATCTGTTAGAGCCCTGTTTAAATCTTGTTCTGCAAATTAACTAATCGAGGGCACAACTGTCTTGGATATCTCAAGAAAACCTATTCTGTATAATGGAAGATCAGGGATGTCATACTCAAGGCCCATGGGCCAGATGCGGCCCACGGGGTGCTTAGATCTGGCCTGCGGGCCCACCCTGGAAAAAGCGAGGGACCAGCCCGTGGTGCCTCTGCCAGCAAAAATGGAGCTCAGATGGACCATGTGAGGCCGTCCCGGGCTCCATTTTCTCTGGCAGAGGGTTGCAGGAGGCCATTGCAGCCGGAAACGGAGCTCGGGAGCCTGTTTTTACTGGAAGAGCACTCAGGCTGTGACAGGCACCCTTGGCATGAGTGACGTCAAGCTGGCCATATCCACTCTGCCCCTCCGAGGTCAAACACAACCCTGATGCAGCCCTCAATGAAATTGAGTTTGACACCCCTGCTTTACATGATTAAATTTATATGTTGTTCCCATACAAGTTCAATTTTGTTATCTAAGTGGAATACTATTTTCTGACTCGTTTTTTAAAATAGTCCAAATGGAGTAACTAACAGCAATCTCAAGAATAAAATATGACAAAGCAAAACATGACTTTCTCATATATTAAGTTCCAGGAATGTTTTTGGCTCTCCAAGCAGTGTACTCAGAGAATAGAAAGCATTCTCTGCTGAATTGGGATTTTAGGACTGCCATGACTGCTATGACAACCATTTTGGGACCTGGCAACCATCTCTCGGCAACCATTTTGGGAGCAAGCTCACCTGATACTTTCAGCCTCTCCCATCTAAAAAAATTACCTGTTCCTGACACAGTCATAATAAGCAGAGCAACAGCAGACGAATTTCATCTTCCCCTTTTATGATAATGTTTAAATTGCCATTCTAAATTGAGTAGAAAGATCTATGTTGAAGAGGGGGTGGGGGGGAGAGAATGCACACCAGTGCCAGTGATGTTTGGCCAATTGCATTGACACAACAGACCTTTGAGTTGTAAATAAGCAAATATGCTAGCTAATCTTGTCCTAAGGGTTACACAGCCAAAAGAGCTAGGACAAATAAACCAACTGTCTGCCTGGGTAACACAATGCTGACTAAACCAGTCTTAAGCTTTATTGGCCTTGATAAAGATTAAAGATTGATCTCAACTAGGTTAATTGGCAGGGACACAATCATTTGCATCCAGAGCACCTGCAAGGGCTTAGGATGAATGCCTAAAGTTCTCCTACTAGGATTGTCTCTTGGGACATGAAATACATGTTGGCTTAATATTGGCTTATTGTGTGCAAAGGTCAGTAGAAAATGACTTCATTTTCAGAAAATCTTTGTTGCTATCTTATATCTCCATGGTATAAGTAAAACAAAATGATGGTGGGAAGAGACACTGCTACCAAACAACTGAGCTGAAATAGTTACACACCTGTCAAAATGAGCTGTCTTTTAAAAAGACAAAGTATTTCTCATAATCTTTGGCATATAACAGGGATATCAAACTCGTGTCGTCACGGCAGTGTCACATGATGTATTGGGACTTTCCCCCACTTCACTAAACCAGGCAGGGGCAGGGCCAGCATGTGACATACCCAGCCTGCAGGCCATGAGTTTAACTCCCCTGGCATATAAGAAGCATGTTTTGCATTTCAGTTCTGGTACAACTACATATGGAATTCTTTCAGGTATCCAATGGCCATAGTGATG